TTTGTGGATAAGGAAACTGAGGATTGAGAGCTCAAATAGCTTTCCTAGGGTGAGCTGGTAAATGAAGGATTTAAGATTCTAACTTCAGAGCTCTTGCTATTTGTTTCTACATTAAAAACAGCATCTACCTCCCAAAGTTACTCCAGAAAGTAAGTTCTTTTATGTAAAGTACTTAGAACAGGGCTTGGAACACCAAAAGCACAATTTGTTTGCTAATATTATTATGTTCCTGCATTATGTGTATGCATAGCTTTATAGAACAGTATGATTCTAAAATTTGTTTTTGAGTTTCCACTTTTATTTTCAATAATTGTATCCTCAAATCCCAGCTCAGACATTATTTCCTAAACAAAGGGACACTCACTAATATCTGACTCCTTTAAGAACCTCAGGTCACCTTCCCTTTTTCTTTTGTTAGTACTGTTAGCCCTAAATCATTTAGCAAACAAAACTCAGCTCATCACGAGAAACTAGCCTTCAATACCCAGGGTCTTGCAAAGCCAAAGTGAGTTTCCAGTCATGGTACCCTATCATAGTTCCCCCACTTTGTGCCAATTAGTAGGAGTAAAATTGTTCCTTACTCTAGTTTGAGAACTTTTTTTCCTGACTATAAATGTTCTAAAATGTCTATTCATGAAATTGAAAATTATAGGACATAAACAATTAAAAACCATCCTCTTTCTATCACAAAGAAATAACTAGCACTGGGAGTGCCAAAAGATAAATTGATTTTTATTTGCAAACCTAGAATTGGGCAACAAACAATTCTATAAAATATTCTGATGGGCTGAATGCAGAAAAGAGCTGAGGAACTCAGATGGGATAAAATGATGACTGGTTGTTTCAAAGTTACATTTGTTATAGGGTTAAAAGAGAAAGGGCTTCTTTATACTGACAGGTCATCTGGATTACATGGTAACTCTTTAAAAAATAAAAAAAAAATTTTAAAAAAGCAATAGCTGCTTTTAGTTCTAAGTTGGTTACTTAATTGCCTTTAATAAAAGCCACCTGCAATTCTTGGAGCTTTTCTCATTTCTGAATTACGGATATTAATATTTGCCCTTTACCCCGCATGATTTTTTTTTTTTTCTTATGTATTTGGTACAGGGTCTCACTACGCAACTCAGACTCATAGTGATCCTCCTGCCTTCAGCCTCCCCAGCCCTGGGATCACAGCCATAAGCCACCATGCCCGGACTTGCTGGCTGCTAAGCGTGCCCGGGCATGGGGCCAGTGTGGCATGAAGTACTGGGGATTGAACCTAGCCCCTGCCCTTGCTTAGGCAGGTGCTTAGACCACTGAGCTATCTCCATGGCCCTCACATGATCTCTTATAAGAATGAATTAAAATAATGGAAGTGAAAATTTTTAGGGAGCACCATATGACTCTCGATGTTTCCAGTCCTTTGCATAGCAAGGAACATAAATAAGTTACTGATTCATTAAATTTAAATACCTTCACATTAACCCACTGGGCTGCTGAAGATATTAAAAATCCATCATATTTTCTTTACATGGATTTAATATTTACCCATGATTTGACTAATCTTTTTCTAATTACAGCTGTAGGATTTGTATGTCATTGATACACCCTAAAACCTTAACTGTTAATACGTATAAACTAGAATCAGGATTTAACCTTTATTCTGGTAATATTAAGGCAGTACATAAAAAAGGATAGGAATTAAAAAACACAAGATTTAGATGCAGCTAAGTCATCTCCTAGCCATAACATACCTTTTACATTCTAAAAATACTTTACTATGTTGCAGGAATTTACCATGGTACTTGTTGAAGTACTTTCCATGTTTTGACTCATGCAGGAAGCAGGGCTTATGCTCACTTTACAGATAAGGAGACCAAAACATGGGTTGGCAACAGAGCAAAAGTCAGAGTGGGCAGGGGGCTACACGGTTTCCTCTCTAGGCAACCTCCTTCCAGGACACAGAGCTCTAGTCCCAGGTCATCACTGCCCTCCCTGTGTCTAGTGGCCTCCAGTTCCTTCCAGAGGACAGGAAGGCTTTATTAGATTCTAAGGAACAAGTGCTACAGATAACATAAAATATTGGCAACATTATTAAAGACAACAATTTAATTTCCTTCCCCAAATAGTTTAAATTTAAAATGTCATCCCCATTATAACTTTTATTACTTTTTAAAAAATCAGTTCAAACTGTAAATGATACAGTTGTCTTCAGAAGAAGGCTGAACAGAGGAGGAAAGCAAATCAGTGTAAAAATTCATTGAGAACAAAAAACAGGGCATTCCGTACTGGGATCATTTTCAATAGATTCGAGTATAAAGACTCAATGCAGAAAAGACTTTTACATAATACCCTTGAACACTAAAAAGAAAGTTATGAAACATCTGAGAGTTAATACCAAAAGATCAATGGATTAAATGTTATCTAAATATATTTCAAGGCAACAGAAACTTATGTAATCTCAATGGGAACTTCTAGTTTTGGCAAACGTTTTAAAGCTTTCCTTTTCTGTTGACAGATAAGTTTGAATATGTGTGAGCTAACTGTAAACGAGGGTTTTTTTTCCCCCTAGCTGATAGTATTTGTTGAATTGTAAGAAATTTATGAAGAAATTACAGTGAATATCTTTAAACACCAGTATCACTCATAACTAAAACTGTACTCTATCTAGCTATCTTGTGAACACCAAAGTTAAAACCTGAAAATGTACAAATAAATTTCTGACCCCATTGTCTAACATTTTCATTTAGGCTCATAAATTATTGTTCTATTTATTTGCAGTTCTGAGGACTGCTAGCCAAGTTCTCTTCCACTGAGGTATATATTCATCCTTCATTTGAGCTCATAAATTATGAAACATATAAACTTGCCCTTTACCAACTATAGTTTGTTTAATTTGAGATTATTCTACTACACATTAGAAATCCAAAAGGTTAAAAAAAAAAAATGCTTAGCTTCATTAGGGCCACTGAGCCACACTTTCAAGTATGGAATTAGAGATTTTTTTTTGAAAGATCTACAAATTAAGAAAAAAGATTAGCTAATAAGGCGAAACTCTAGAGATGAAAAAATAAGATTAACTAGTATGAAAAATGCACAGGTGTAGTCTATGCAAGAAAAAGGAGAGTAAATATTTCAGAGTCTTTTTCTACTAAAAATAACATCCTTAATTCAAGGCCTAAAATCTTCCTTAAAATATTGTCCACTGAATGTAAAGCTGGACTTTAACTGTAAATCTGCTCACTCACATGTTCTTCCATGGTCTAGGTAGGGCCTGCAGGGCCTAATTTAAAGGAAGGTCAAATAAGTACATCTATAGAAGTTAATACCTAACAGTGCTGTAAGTCTCATTCTCTTATGTACTAGTGACCAACAACAACAAATATTCCTTGGAAATGGATTTTAATACTTTTCCTGGATGAGGTATAAAGGCTCAAAGCCCTGGATCAACATTTAGGAGACCTGGAGAGCACAGAGGTGGCTTGTACAAAAAACTAGCTGTGGGACAGTGATGTCCTGACTTGTTTCCTGTAGACCATGGTTAAGTACTGAGTGATCTGGACACTCAAGTTCATTTCTCCATTCTAACTTTATGCACCCACACAACTAGGTCATCTGTACCAGAATTCTGGATATCAAATAGTTTCACTTTTTTCTGGGTATATAGTTCTAATATTTTGTAACTGCCTCCTCTCCATAAAATACTGAAAGAAAAATGAACAGACTTCAGGTTTGTAATTTGAACTCTAAAGGTATTAACTCAAGATACTGTCACTAATTCAGCATGACTAAGCACTCAAGAATAAAAAACCCAACATATAGTTTGAATTACTTTTTTACCTAATAATAAGTTTATACTGTATTTAGATACCTATTCACTTCCATGAGGATTTCTCCTTTAAGTACTGTTTCATGACAATACAAAAGTACGACAGTCTTCTAACATATTCAGAAGCAGTGACACTCCTGACATTTTGGGCTCGTGGTTGGAGCTGTCTTTTTCTTTGTGGGGTGTTTTGGCCCCGCCACTAAACCTCAGTACCAACCCCACCCTCTTAAGGGGTGGAAACTGTTTCATATATTGTTTTAGACAACGTGCCCTGAGAAGGGCAGTCAAAAAATCCCAACTTGTTAAAAGAACTGATTTAAAGAACTCTTCACTTTACCTAAATTTGACATTTCTTTCTTTCGCATTGAAAATCATTTTAAGAAAAAACGCTAACATAGCCAAAGCTGCTGCTTCTTGGAGAAGGAGCACACAAAAGACCTATAAAACCTTTCCTCATAGGTTATGTGTTAAGAGGGGGAGGGAGAAAAAATAAAAGTGCAGCATAAACTCTGCCTCTACCTATTACAAAACGAAGTGCACTTGAAAGTAAGCACAAATGTCTACACTGAAGTACGATCTGAAACAGGCATGCAGAAACTTCCGAAGAACGAACTCTGCGGGCATCTTTAGGCAAGAGCTGACCACGTTCGGCAGCGCTAACACCGAGCGGCTCGCTGGGCCTCTGGGTGCGGGGTGCCCGCGCGCGCTCCCGCCACGCCCACCGGACGTCACTCGTTACACAACGCCCCCCCCCCCAGCTTATGCAATTCTGCCCTCCCGCGGCTTCCAATTGCCCCTGTGACTTTTGTGCGACAAAGGATAAAAGCTGTTCGCCTGGCCTAGGCTGGGGACCCTGTTCCCGCCCAGGCTGTGGTCTTCCGGGCTGGATCCGAGCAGCCCATCACCGGGAAACGCGCGGCAGGAAACCCGGGCCGCTCCCGCACGCCCAGCTCACACCCATCCCGCGCCCGGGCGGCCCCGCTCCGGGTCACCCGCCCGGAGCCACGCGCGCACCCGCCGCGGCCGAGGGAACCCCGCGCCCCTCCCTGCGCCGCGTCACCGGCGGCTCCGAGGGCGATCCCCATTGTGACCGAAGCATCCCGGGGCGCCGCCCCCTCCCACCCAGTCCGGGCCCGGCCGTCGGGGACCGAGGGTAGGGCTGGGCCGCCCGCCCGCACCCCCGCGTCACCTGCTCGCAGCGCCTCGCTGGCGGCGGCCAGGGCCTCCCGGTAGCGGCCCTGGAGCAGCAGCTCCCCGAGCCGGCCGGCCGCCCGCGCCCGCTCGCGCTGGCCCGGGAACCACTTCTCGGCCAGGTGGTTGAGCACGACGCTGGTCCTGAAGTCCGAGGCGGCTAGGGCGGCGGCTAGGGGCGCCGGGCGCAGGCCGGCAGCCCCGGCGTCGGGGGCTCTGGCGGCG